CCCGATGGCCCCTGGCCCCAGTGGGTCCCAGTCCCCGTGGGCCCTGGCTCCAGTGGGTCCCAGTTCCCGTGGGTCCCAGTTCCTGTGGGTCCCTCCTTCCCAGTTTGCCCAGTCCCGGCTCTCCTGCCAGGATGACGTCACCACCCGATGCCCTGGGGCCAATCAAGGCGTCATCGCTAACGAGGCCGCTCATTAGGGCCCCACCCCCGCCCCCGCCTCCCTGGCCCGGGGCGATTGACCTCCCAGTACCTCCCAGTACCTCCCAGTACCTCCTGCTGCCCTTTTCCCGTGGGGCCCAGTTCCCCAGGGATCCCAGTTCCTCTGGGTCCCAGTTCCCCATGGCTGTGGGTCCCAGTTCCCATGGGTCCCAGTTCCCTGTGGCCAGTGCCCGTGGGTCCCAGTTCCCTGTGGGTCCCAGTTCCCCAGGGATCCCAGTTCCCCGTGGCTGTGGGTCCCGGTTCTCCATGAGTCCCAGTTCCCCACAGTTCCCAGCTCTCCATGGATCCCAGTTTCCATGAGGCCCAGTTCCTGAGGGTCCAAGTTCCCCATTAGTCCCAGTTCCCTGTGGGTCCCAGTTCCCCATGGCTATGGGTCCCAGTTCCCATGGGTGTCAGTTCCCTGTGGGTCCCAGTTCCCCATGAATCCCAGTTCCCATGGGTCCCAGTTCCCCATGGACTCCAGTTCCCCATGAATCCCACTTCCCATGGGTCCCAGTTCCCCATGGGTCCCAGTTGCCCCTGCAGAAGGTCCCTGGGCCCCACAGAAGTGGGTCAGGGCTCCACGTGACCGTGGGTCACGGTTCCCATGGCCAAGGGTTGGAGCCACCCATGGGTGTGGGTCCCCACGCCCTGAGGACACGTGACCGTGGGCCCCACGAGGGGAGGGGAGGGGGCCCGTGAGTGGGGGGCAGTGGGACCCATGGACACGGGTGGTGGGACCCATGGACACGGGTGGTGGGACCCATGGAGAGGAGTGGTGGGACCCATAGAGGGGGGTGGGGGGACCCATGGATAGGGGGGG